GGTCCCAGGGGAGCCGCTGCCGTCCCTCCCAGCGGGAGCGCTGCCCTCGGCCGCGCCGGTGCGGGTGTGCAGAGAGCCACGGGGAGCGGGTCCCCCGGTGCCCCGCGAACGTACGCCGGGAGCTACGCGCTGTCGTTCCGTACGCGGGGGCATCTGGGGTTAGAGCCAGGTCCTACCAGGGGTTCCTGCAGAAGTCAAAGAGACGGGAGACCACCTACGGCTGTTCGGACTGGGGCTGACTCTGCTTCAGACAAGGCAGCCGAGTGAATCCCTGCAACAGTCATCCCCACTCATGATCAGAATCAACAGTCACATCTCAGAAAAGCAGCAGAGAGAAGTGCTTTGTATTTTTTGCTGCTACGTAAAAAAAAATACTGATTTAATTAACAAATTAAAACACGTCTTTTGTTTTTTGCCAAAATAAACATTTGGAAGTTTAATTTTTTTTAATTTTTTTTTTGTGAAAGCAAAGATACTGAAGACCTTGCTTTGCTCGGGAGCCTCTGTGGCCCACGAGGAGCGCTGTCAGACAGTAGGAAACGTCTTTCTGCCTGAGAAGACACCTCCGAGTTACCAGCTATTATGCTGTAGTGGGTGGCCAGTTGGTGTCCTGGGTGGCCAGCTGGTGGCCCAAGGAGAGAACGAGGCAGTTCTGACTGGCCAGTGGAAACACTACCATGTGCTGGGTGGATCCAGCCTAGGGCTGTCGCTGAGCTCGAGCTAATGAGCAGCTTTATGGGAACAAGATGCTGGGGAAGTCAGCCGGCTCTCCGAGGAGCTGCCTCCCGCCGTGCCGGGGCTGTCGCCCATCCAGCAAGCCAACCTGTTTGCGGAGAGGAGCGGAGCAGCTGCACTGGTGTGGCACGGTGTCCGAGAAACGCACTCGGAGACCCATCTGCCTCCCCACCCTCACGGCCTCTCCCAGCGACGATGTCTTCTGCCTCACCTGTCTTGAGATGAGAGCCCCTTCCATCTATCTCTGGTACACCTTGCAGTGTTCCCTGAAGGATGCCCCACGGCACCTGTGGCTGTCCGGGATATCCTTCCCTCTCGGCGTTCTGCTGAAGAACTGACAGTTGGTAATAGGGATCCAGCCTCCAAAGAACCAGGGGGAACAATCAGTTTCAAGCCTCAAGTGTTACCGTTCCTGGGTTATCTGCGGTGCGGTACGGTTAGTGCTACTTGCTTTGCGTAGATACTAGTTGGAGCAGGACAGGAATCCAGGTGTCATTTCTCCCAGGTAAGAGTTCAGGCCAGATAAGAGTGTGTCTCACTCAAGAAATAATTATTTGATACAAAATGGATCAGTTCCAGTGGGAAGGAATTGCGGGAGATCTGTTCTAGCAGGGCTAGAGCGCTTGCTTGAGAGGATCATCTTCTCTGCTCATATCCACGTACTGCCCAACTAAAATATTCCATTAAAACTCCGTTTAATGGAACAAATATTTTTTCCTTTGACTTACAGGGGAATTTGATAGAGATATGAAAGGAATATTAAAGCAATATTAAATAGTTTCGCTAGCACGGAGAAATAGCATGTGGAACCTGGTGAGGCGAAGAAACTTGTTAGATGCCGGGTGGGTTGCCTTCGGGGGCAGGAGCCACCCCTTGCGCTGCACAACCTCATGAAGCACAAAAGGCCCATCGTGAAAATGGTATGGGTCACTTAACTGGGCTGGCCAGGTGAAGTCAGCAAGCACGGTAATCTCTTGAAATAGAGGGCACAGGAGAGCATTCCGTCTACTTCGAAAAGATGCCAAAAATCATCGGAAAAATCCAGTCGTCAGAGGCGATCTAACAGAGCCCTCTTTGAGGGCTACAGAATCCTGTATTTAAAAATAAAGCTGAGACAAAGGCGGTATGTGCTCCAGGAGGAGCAGACACTTGCATCTTGACTAAAAATGTCTGCGCACAGCGACTGCAACTGGCCCTGCCAGTCTGGTCGTTGCGCACAGCGACGTCTTGGTAGCTGTATGTTCAGTTTAACTGCTGAGCCAAATTGCTTATTCAGTCAGAGTCTAAGACTTAAATGTGCTTTGCAAAAGTTGCTTTAAGAGTTGAAATCAGGAAAATACTAAATAGAAAGGTTAGGCATGTATTTATGTAGATTCAGCTACGCAGATGTCAAAAAGAGTTGATGGTCTCTTTCTGCCCTGAAAAACGAAAATGAAAAGATTTCTTGATAGGAGGGGTGAGGGTGTACACACACATCTTCTTCACTTGTTTTAAGTGAGAAGACTTCTCGGTGACGAAAATGTTAATTTTGAATAACATTCACACCAAACTGACTGGGCTTTTCCGTGAATTTTACTGAACCACACTCTGCAGCTGCATCTTGTTCTGGCTCCCTCATTATGGAAGATAATTTGCAATTGATTTAGACAGTAGGATTTTAACCTTTTTAAGGATAGCCCAGCAGAAGGGAGAACAGCAATGCAGACTGCTGAGAAAACAAACAAACAAGACCTGTAAACAGCTGATGAACCCCTGAGTTTAGAATGGGCAGTGACACACAGCAGCTCGTTTACAAACATCTCACCACATCCGTCCATCCCTCAGCCAGAGGCAGGAGCACAGTCACCCGTCTCCTCTGCCACTGCTGGTGCAGCCGTGGTCCCAGGGTCGGACACTGCCGGCACAGGGCCGTTAGCGTCACCCGCCACCAGCTACAGCAGCGTGCTCTCCCAGCGGGTGCGCTGGAGGGTGCGTGGGCCAGGAGGCTGTTGATCACTAGTGGTGTGATACTGCACGCACGCGTGTGACAGAGCACAGGGCCGCGCCGTTGCAATGCAGTCTGATGGCGCAGTAGGATTGTTTTATGCCACTTAGATACTTCTCTTTGACATAACGAGAAATCAACACCCGTATGACTGATCACCAAGTACTTTTCATTGGAGCCATAGGTAGGTGTGTCAGGAACTTAGAACAACCCTGTTGTCCTTCCCCTCTTCTCTCCCAAACTTCTCTCCCAGACATTTAGGAGGCCGTCCCGAGAGATGGGAAGAGAAGGGGAGCAGCTGCTAAGCCTTGCCAGGGCCGTGTCCCTGCAGCAGCTCTGGTGGAGTCCTCCTTGTGCCACCAGTAGGGTCAGGAGCAGGCTGACCTCAGCAGTGGGAGGACGTGAGTCAGGTGAGAGGGCGTCCTGCTGGTCAGGCCTGTTTGTCTGCTGGAAAGGAGTGCGGACAGTGACCGCTGCAGGAGCTACAGCAGGGGAAGGTACTTTGTGGACGAGTCAGCTGTGGCTGCTCTCCTCCTACGGGTGGCAACAGTCCCCTGTCTTTGCCGTGTAGTGATTCTCACGCTGCCATCACGCTGCCACCTTGTCCCACCTGCTTGTTACAGGCTGACCTTGTCTCACCTCCCTCGTGGTTGAAGGGGTTCCTTTAACGCCACTCAGTCACAGCTGTCGCAGCACACTACCTTTCTCCATAGATTATTTTTTTCCACTCAGTACTAGTGAGACCTTAAAACAGTCATCAGTTTGGACATCATCTTCAAAAGCAAGTGCTGTGAGCTGACTGAGGAAAGGTGGGCAGTCCGAGCACCCTCACTCCAGAGAAAAGAGACCAGGGAGGAATTTGTCTGTGCGTATGCCCAGAGGGATGGTCTGAAGAGGACAAGGATCAGTACTCCTGTTGGTCAAGAGTCAGGCTGTTAATAGGTTTAAGCTGCAGAAGGAAAACTCCAGTCTGAAAATTAAGAAAATTATATAACTGGAGGAAAAGTTAGACAGTGGAACCTGTTGCCAAGACAGAGGTTGTGAAACTGGAGATATTCAAGGCTAGGCTAGACACCCATCCATCAGGGATGGCTTTGGAATAACTGAGTAAAGCCAGTGAACAATGCAAACAGCTTGACTAGATGACCCAGTAACAGTCCCTTCCAATCCAAATATGTTCGAGAGGCTTCTGAAATGTAGTTGGCAGCTTGTCCGCTTCCAGCACAGTTGTGATGTGTTACTGCCAGATGTGCCATCAGTACCTTATGCTAAAGGCAGTGATGTACAAGGTCGGAGCTGGAGCCAGCACCTTTAATAGCATTGTCTTTTCCTACTAGGTTCGCCTTGCCCTTGATCCATGTGAAGACCTGTTGGAAACGCCTCCTAGAAACAGAACAGTTTTCAGTCTCCTAAGAAATCCTGTTGTGTCCAAGAAGAGCCCGTCCAAATGAGCAAGACATCCCAACAGAACACCGCTACAGATGCGAACGGAGTAAGCGTGATTCACACCCAAGCACACACCAGCGGTTTGCAGCAGGTTCCCCAGCTGGTGCCCGTCAGTCCTGGTGGCGGAGGCAAAGCTGTGCCTCCGAGCAAACAGGGAAAGAAAAACTCCTTTGTGGATAGAAACAGCGATGAGTATCGTCAGCGCAGAGAGCGAAACAACATGGCAGTGAAAAAGAGCCGGTTAAAAAGCAAGCAGAAAGCGCAAGACACGCTGCAAAGGGTCAACCAGCTCAAAGAAGAGAATGAACGTTTAGAGGCAAAAATCAAGCTCCTGACCAAGGAGCTGAGCGTACTGAAAGACTTGTTCCTCGAGCACGCGCACAACCTTACAGACAACGTGCAACCTGTTGGCACTGAAACCACCACCACAAATCCAGAAAACAACGGACAGTAGACACAGTTGCAACTTTATGAAATGAACTCCCAAAGTGCAGCTTGTCTGCAACGCCCATGCAGTAACCAAGCAAAAACTCTCTTCTTTTAACCATCATTTTTTGGAGATTTTCTTCTTTTTGGGTTTAACACTGAAGATTTGATACAATTAAACCAGAAACTGCTTAGGGCATTTGTTTTAAATATTTTTCTCCTCTACAGGATTTATGTAATAAATGCAAATCTAAATTCATAGTCCACAAGGAGCTTAGTATTAGGGAAATAGCATGTTCACAGAAACATTCACTTACCTTCTTATAGTTTGCATAGTGGGAGGAGTCCAGCAGGATGGTTCACTGTAGTATCAGAAACTCGGAATGGGATAAAATGTCTTTAAAATACCTTTTAGCGTATTTAAGCCCTTTATTTTCTCCATTACATACTACAAAACCACAAAGGCCGTGGAGGGTGTTTGCTTTCCTGTTTGGTAGACTACTTTAAATCTGTAGAGCAAGTCCTATAAAGCACCACTTAGGTCTTTCCTGTCCAGTTCTAGCTAACGGGGAGGGTGTAGTGATAGTGAGCTGGGATGCTTACTGACGTTTTCTAGAAAAATAGCAATATACTATGATGATGTATAGAGGCAGCCGGCTTCCACACGGCACGTGAGGCTGACGCGTGATGTACAAGAGGTAAAGCAGCAACTGACAAAGCCTTTCCAGCTTGTGTTCACACTGCGCACATAGTGACTGGGGCCTTACAACAGCACGATTTTGGTTTTCAGAAAATGTCACAATGCTACCAAAAAACCGCTCTGCAAAATTGCATTCTTGCAGGTACCAGGGATGACAGAGCGTGCGGCTTGGCTGGGCAATGGGAAGGGTCCGGCAGCATCTGTTCGGCCACAAAGCATGGATCGCTGCTGGCTGACACCCGTCTCCGTTGTCATGGCTGTTCAGATTTGCAACCAAGAGCTGACAGAAGTTCACAATGAGGTTAAAAATAAATGGCCCAACTTTCAAGAACTGATTCAGTGGAATTTCTGTAGCTATCGTGCAGCTGTGTGAAGGAGTATCTTCGGTCTTGTTTTATTTTCATAAAAGTTTTTCTATAGCAACTTTTTTAATGCTAGTGCTGAGTCTTTGCCATGATCCATAATGCCATGGTATGTACTATATTGAGGATTTAAACAATAAAAGTAAAGCAGGAATTTTGATGTAACCTTAATTTATTTTAATTTTAAAATATTTTGTTGATGGTATGGTTGTGTTACATTTAACCTGTGTGTCTGGCTAGTGGATTATTACTCTGTCCTAACTTCCCTCCTACACTACCTTTTTCCACAGATTATTTTGTAGGATGCTTATTTGCCTCATATCTACTTAGGAAGAGAACGTGGGTATTATCTCTATGAAGATGCTGTTAGAAAATGAAACCTTGAAAAGTTCTTTTTGAATTTAAACTTTTAATACAAGCGGAACTTTTATGGATTGTTTTGGATTATGGTAGTCTTTTTACAAAGATATGTTTTTTGGTTCTAGCTGCAGCTTAAGTAGGTAGGGTTGAAATAATCAGAAGCTAATAAAAACCTTTTGCTTCTAGTGCTGGCTTCATTTTTCCTGTCCCTTTTCTGTCTCCCTCAAATACAGAGGTGTCCACCTCAAACAGCTATCTGGGAGAAATCAGTGCAACAGTCCCCATTCCTGTCTTCCACTCAGGTTTTTACGCAATGGAAAGAATCAGAAACTCATTACAGTTTTGGCTGAATTCCTGATTTAACCATAAAATAAAATAAAAAAAAAATTAAAGACTGAAAATGTACTGCAGTTAAAGAGGGGGGGAGAGGGAGGAACAGAACACCAAAACCCAGGAGGAAAAAGATGAGCCGAGAGCATCTCATTTGTTACCTGCGCGCCTGCTCCGGTGCAGGAGGCAGGAGGTGGTCTCTTCCCACTCATCTGCGCTGAGAACTGGGACCACGTGGCCCTGTTGTCCTGCGGCTGGTTTGCCAGGCTGATGTGGGATCCCCCCCAGTGACCCCAGTGAACAGAGGTACGAAATCCCTGGTATTTGTTTCTGATTTTGGTGAAAATGAGTTCCTAAATCTCTTTAAGTGGGAGTAATACTCTTTGAGATGCTCTGGAGGGTGAATGCTCCAACTGTTAACGCTCCCAACAGCTCCGATTCCACTTCCTTCTTGGTGAAAACCAAACCACTGAGTTATGGAAAGTCATTTGTTTGCACAGTGACATTTCTGGCGTACCAGTCCCCGCTCTTGCTTTGCTTGCCTAGGGAAGCACAGAGGCCGTGCAGCGCATCGGCTTAACACGTGAAGCCATGGACCTAAGGTTGTAACTTTATTATTTTCAACCTGCCCTCGGTGAGAGTTCGGTTGCAAGGACGGCGTTAGTCTGTTATGCCAAGCCCCCTCCTGCCCCAACGGCCGTCTCGGAGCCCCGAGGAGCGGGGGCAGAGGGGGCAGAGGCTGTGCTTTCCCGCTGCCCCACGTGGAGCAGCTCGTGCTGCGCGACAGCAAAATAAATGCTCCATCTCACCCTGCTGGTGCGGGCACTGCAGAGCACGGGACCTGGGCCACCTGGACGATTCTCTCTTCTACCTGAAGAAAGGCTGCAATAAATACACATCTACATGAGAAAATTTCAGCGTAGGCCTATGGAAGTTCAGGTTATCCTTTTGACACTTTTTCCTTAAGAACAACTGTAGTGTGTGACAGAATACAGTGCCCGTCACTACAAGGAGGAGTGTTACAGCTCCTCACACAGTGTACAGCCCCTGTACCACTACGGGGTCGGGTCTGCTCCAGCCTCGGCGAGCACCAGGAGGCTGCACCGCTCCGGCTGCAGCTGCAGCAGCACGACCGGTCCGGCCGATAAACCAGGAGTGCATCCGTCCCACCCCGGGGAGCTGCAGCGACTTAAATACAGTTCAGCAGCGCTCGGCCCTTTCTGAACACACAAACTGGCTCAACATAACGCGCTCTTTCTGTTACTTCAGTGCCGCTCTATTCCAGTCCGTTTGCACCAAGGGGAAAAGGCATTTGGGAAAACATGATAGCGAATGGCCTAAAATATCCTAATGTAGGCAAAAAGGAAGTTTGCCGTAACTGTATTTTCTCCCCACTAATCATTTTGAGTGTAGTGAATATCCCTTTGCCTTTTTTTAAAGGCTTACCTCCCTGCCCACCCCCAGTAATTTAGAAAAAAGTTCTAATTCACTTTTTGCTTAAGTGGATAAAAATTATCATAATTCCCCAAGTTCGTGGGGCTGATGATGAAGGAAAATGGGAGCGGGTGCACCATCCCAGACCGAAATGCATCCACGTCTCGAGCAAGCAACACGAGAGAGAAGCCGGTTACGTGAGGGAGTGCTTCGCCCCAGAACTGGCGGCAGCGTTTGTTCGCTGGTACATGTCGAAGCAGAACCAGTTCTGCCTCCCGCAGCGTGCCGCATTGCTCGACCCGTTCTGCAGGAGCAGAGTCCGCCGTCTGCCAGCGGAACCGCGGGCAGGGAAAGGCCCATGAACTGCACCGGGGTTACAGCTTCCTTGAAACGATTCCAAAACTCTTTTTTTGGAAATCTGTGAAGGGTTACTTTAAAATAGTAACTGCTACTGAACCCAAGGAACAGCAGGTTTCGGAGAGCCCAACGCGGTGAGCGGTCCCACGGGGGTGTGCAGAGCACGCCAGAGGAAAGCAGCGGGACGTGGGGGGAACAAGGGAGAGGCCACGAGTGCCGTCGTGCACTGAGAAAACCTCCCGGGTTTTAGGGTGAGATGAGTCCGGAGCAATGCCGGGGTAGTTTCTGCGTTGTCATACCGAAGCAAAGCGCGATGTCCTCCGCACAAGCGTGTTTCAGAGGTCACCTCGGAAGGAAGCATCGGCGCCGTTGCACCTACACCCTCCTCACCCCTTCCCCTTCGCAGTCGAGACCTCCCACACTTACCTCTTACAAACCAACACTGAGCAACCTTTAAGAAATGTAAATAGGCTCATTTGCTAATACGGCGACACTAATCATAAGGAGTGAAGTCCCCTGGATTATTTCACAATGTGTTTCTTTAGTCTCCAACGTGCAGCTTCCTATTTAGCAATGGGTGACGGGGCTGTTACGAATACAGTGCAGGTTCTCCTCACACACATCAGCCCAACTGGCAAAAGGACCTCTCTCTAGAACAACACGTGACAATTTTTATGGAAACTATGTCAGACCTCAATCCAGCCCCAGGCGGGGGCACAGGGACAGCAATGCAGTAGTTCTCGACCCCATCCAAGCCCATGCCGTGCTGTACACCCCATGTAAGATGGGCGCCTGCCGGCACTGCGAAGCTCACAGCGGTCCCGCCGCCTGCACACCAGCCCCGGGAGGTGAGCAACAGAACCGAGATGATAGAATCGGCCGATCCCTTCACGACGGGGAATCCCTCCTCTGGCCAGCGGTGAGACCCAGAGAGGCCCCGCCATCCTGCTGGGGCTTCGCTGCCCCCGACACGGCAGAGGGATGCTCCGAACGGGCTTTGCAGGCGAACTGCACAACTGAGCCTGAAGACCAAACAGGAGTTTTGATGTGTTCATAAATTGAGCAAGATTATTTTTATGTAGTTACAGCAACTAGTGCTATTTCATGATGCAAGAAACTTATTTATTGTCCTGCAGGCTGATGAACACCTTCAGTAAAGAAAGGCTTCTCTGGGTAAATTAAATCTTGCATGAATAGAAAGTCATTTTATGATCATTATTAACATGTTGTGGTGTATCCAAATAAAATGTACATGACTTCATTCTGAACCGGCAAACACCGGACAGTTAAAAGCAACTCTATCATTCTGCAGAGCATATGCTGCTGAACGACCCTGAGCCCGGCGGCAGAGATGCTCCCTGCTTCCGATTTCTAAGGCTCACGAATGCCACAGCAATCCACTTTTCTGGGGAACAAACACATGGACAAATCTAGTAAGAATTGGGCTGTGTGTGAAGGACCAGTACAGCCACTACCCAGAGCAGATAAATCTGGCTAATGAAGGGTCAAAGTTTCCAGAGCACAAATTGGTAGCAAGGTCAGATAAAGTAGCAGGAACGGGAGCAGAAGAGCATAATGATCAC